TGTTTCTTCTCTCTCTTACTATACCTTTCCACTGGTTATTTGGTCTACTTCCTCTGTATTTTCTAAGGATGCCACACTAGTGTCAGCATTAAATATTCTTCAGGCAGACCTGTGCAGCACACCTATGCTACGTTCAGACTGCAAGCAGCAATAGCAGCAAAAATGCGGGTGTTGCTTCATTTTTGATTTTTAGTTCTGACGCGCATCTTTGATGCTTTAGCTGCGCGGTCGAAAGTGGGTCTGATGCGCGTTGGGCGGAGCTACCCTATCCTTTCTTTGCCTGTAATAATGGCAGCTACATTTGCTGTGATCAGTGGGTAAAAAGTAGTTTTAATATAGTTTTAAGTGAGAAAGTCAGCCTGAAAACTTCGTCTGTGCGGTCAGTTCATCCAGATTACCATCCTGCCTTTAAATATTATTTCGCACCGGTGGTGCTCTTCAACAGCAGCCTCTGGCCCGGTAACCTCTTCGCAGTTTTGGGCTTCCGTTCGCGGCGGTTGGAAGGCGTTTTTCACATATGTAATCCAAACTGCAGGCACCAGAATATTAAAAGCAAACATATTTTACCTGCAGGTTTCTACATGTTAAGTTAATTTAGGCGTTAATAAACTGTTGAAAAAGGGCCCAATTTAGAGCCTTGTGGAGCTCCATATGCAAATAGAGACTACAGGTGTACAGCACAGACCAAAGGTTTTATGGATCTAACTGTGTTTATGTTTTATTTGGTACGTTTCTCACCCTCAACTCCAGGATCACAGGATTTTCACTTTGTTTCAGAGATGAGACGTCTAGCCTCCTCTGATACTCCACAAGTCTCTGTTGAAATTAAAAGAAGTCATTAAATGTCTGGACAACAGTCTACTTTAGGGAATTGTATCTGAACTTAAAGATCAAATCTTGTTTTGCCACATAGTGCTTTTTTACCTTAATTACATAATGATTACTTTAATTTGTTCATCAAAATCATTAAAATAATAGATTAAAAAGACAGCTCATCACTGGATATTTTTCCTTGATGTTCTAATGTTTTCACCTGTTTGTTTTCAGCCTCCTTCACAGCCTGGTTAACATGGTTGAGGATCTTTTTGCAGCACTCTGCAGCTTTCTTCACCTTCTCCCTTTCCTCACACTCCTCTGTTAAAGACAGACAAATTAGCCAAAAACTTTCAAAGTTTCCAAGGAGTTAAAGCACCCTTTTCAAAATGCACGAAATCCTATTCATACCAGAGTATTTTGCAATATTGTCCAGTAGGAGCGGGTACTTTGTAACTCTTTGCATTTCCACAGGAATGATGTCTTTCAGCTGCAGCCTGCGACACAAGCGGTTGCTCTCAGCTTCCTAAAAATCAAAGGTCGATTAAAAACAATTTTATGTCAATTTAATATCTAACTATGTAGGAGCAGTGATAGCCATTCTAACTCTGTAGGGGCAG